AATTACACTTACTCCCATACCAACTGCCTTAGCCCACTCATAGCTAAGTGCATCATTAGATGCTTTTTTGCCTCAAGATGTTGATCTGTCTGTAACTGCCGATAACTTCAGAACGAAGTTGACTAAATATAAAGTTGTCAATGTCTTGGCAATTGTTACAAACAAAGGATTTAAAAAAATGCTTAACATGAAAACTGACCCAGTATACTGGCCGACGTATCAAAATGCGTAGGGAATATGTTGTTTGGAGAGCGTTTGCACATTGGCAAGACGTCGCCGAGACAGAATGTTGTTGCTTGGCTGACGTATAAACTATGTAGAACTGTATAGTTTAGAATGTAGGAATTCAAAATACAGTGCTTTCAGAAAGTATTCATACCCCTTGACTTATTCCACATGTTGTTGTGTTACAGCCTGAATTAAAAATGGATTAAATATATATTTTTTCTCACCCATCTACACACAATACCTCATATTGACAAAGTGAAAACATGTTTTTATATATTTTTGCAAATGTATTGAAAAATTATAAATAAATATCTCATTTACATAAGTATTCACACCCCTGAGTCAATACTTTGTAGAAGCATCTTTGGCAGCGATTACAGCTGTTAGTTTCTGGTAAGTCTCTATGCGCTTTCCACACGTGGATTGTTAAACATTTGCCCATTATTCTTTTCAAAATTCTTCAAGCTCTGTCAAATCAGTTGTTGATCATTGCTACACAACCATTTTCAGGTCTTGCCATAGACTTTCAAGTAGATTTAAGTCAAAACTGTAACTCCGCCACTCAGGAATATTCACTGGTCACTTGGTAAGCAACTCCAGTGAAGATTTGTCCTTTTTTTAAGGTTATTGTCCTGCTGAAATATGAATTCATCTCCCAGTGTCTGGTGGAAAGCAGACTGAACCAAGTTTTCCTCTATGATTTTGCCTGTGCTTAGTTCCATTATGTAAAAACATTTTAATCCTGAAAAACTCCCCAGTCCTTAACGATTACAAGCACACCCCTATCATGATGCAGCCACCACTATTCTTGAAAATATGGAGAGTGGTACTCAGTAATGTGTTGTATTGGATTGACCCCAAACATAACACTTTGTATTCATGACAAAAAGTTAATTGCTTTGCCACATTTTTTTGCAGTATTACTTTGGTGCGTTGTTGCAAACAGAATGAATGTTTGGAATGTTTTTATTCTGTACAGGCTTCCTTCCTTCACTCTGTCAATTATGTTAGTATTGTGGAGTAAATACAATGTTGTTGATCCATCCTCAGTTTTCTCCTATCACAGCCATTTAACTCTGTAACTGTTTTAATGTCAAACTTGGCCTCATGGTGAAATCCTTGAGCGTTTTCCTTCCTCTCTGGCAACTGAGTTAGGAAGGACACCTGTATCGTTGTATTGACTGGGTGTATTGATACACCATCCAAAGTGTAATTAATAAAATCATCATGCTCAAAGGGATATTCAATGTCTGCTTTTATTTTTACCCATCTGTGACGAGTACTGAGGATACAAAGAGGCAGGACGCAGACACAGGAATCAACAATGTAAAGGTTTACTTAACACTGAGCAAGAGAACAACAAAGCACGAGGACATGACACTAACAATTTCACACAACACTGAACAGTCGAGGGCTATATAGGGGTGGTGATGAGATGATGAGGTGCAGGTGCGCTGGAGGTGATTAGGGTGCGTTGGGTTTCCATTCTGGTGTTGCCGAGGTGGTGCGCTCAGACCGGTGGCTCAGTAGGCCGGCGAATCAGAGCGCCGGAGGGGAGCAACGGGAGGAGACGTGACACCATCTACCAATAGGTGCTCTTCTTTTCGAGGTATTGGAAAACCTCCCTGGTCTTTGTGGTTGAATCTGTGTTTGAAATTCACTGCTCGACTGAGGGACCTTACAGATAATTGTATGTGTGGAATACAGAGATGAGGTAGTCATTCAAAAATCATGTTAAGCACTATTATTGCACACAGAGTCCATGCAACTTATTTACTTTTGAACTTATTTCGGCTTGCCATAACAAAGGGGTTGAATACTTATTGGCTCAAGACATTTCAGCTTTTCATTTGTTATGAATTTACAAAAATGTCAAAAAACATAATTGCACTTGGACATTATGGGGTATTGTGTGTTGGCCAGTGACAAAAAATCTCAATGTAATCCATTTTAAATTCAGGCTATGACAACAAAAATGTGGAAAAAGTCAAGGGGTGTGAATACTTTCTGAAGGCACTGTATAATAGCCAACAGCTCGCAGATAGTCTCATCAGCTATACCCGCACTATGGGATAACGACGATATCCAGAAGCCTCTGTAGATGAAGGGGAGATTTCTTCCTGCCCCAAATATCCTAACAGCCACTGCTCTTTTAATCGCTCAGTGACAAATGCATTTAACAGGCAGGCAGATTTTCTCAGCCAGTCGAAATCATGAATCAGCATCATTTTTTATGGATATATACAAATACATATCAATAGAAAACAGGTAGAACGAAATGAAGTGCAGCTAGTTTGCAGTCTTTCCAACTTCAGTTTGGACATTTTCAGATAAATAACGTTAATCTATTTATCCACAGAATCACCAATATTAATTGAATTTCTGCTCCCAAATGTAAATAAACTGATACATATCTGCAGCATAGTTCTTATCGCAACCTGCTGTGCAATATGACTGATTCGGAGTGAATAATTATTTCAGCTTAGTGACCAAAACTAATATGTCATTAAACTCCAACAGTAGTCTATTTAGGCCACTGAATATCATAATAGCCAAGTTCATTATGCATAAAATAAAGTTAATGAAAAACAAACCTAGATGATTTAAGTGTTATGTCTACACCATGGTCTCTCGTGGTACCGACAACAAAAAAGGTAGCCTCCGCAGTGACAGTGGGATAATCTCAATTCGAAAACCTTTGATTCCTCACATCCTCTCGCCTCCTTCTCAAAACCCATCGGATGAGAGCTCAGAGGGGACCTTCTCATCCAATGGGTTTTGAGAAGGTGACGAGAGGGGACGCGAGGAATCACGGATATGCAGTTGAGATTCTGCCGGTAAATATTAGGTGGCTATGCAACCCTGCCAGAGCAGAGAATACCTTATTAAACACAATTTCCTATTTGAACATTCTTTGATATTGGCCTAAATAGCCTACTGTTGGAGTTTAATGACACACCCTACATGACCAAAAGTATGTGGACACCTGCTCATCGAACATCTCATTCCAAAATCATGGGCATTAATATGGAGTTGGTCCCCCCTTTGCTGCTATAACAGCCTCCACTCTTTTGGGAAGGCTTTGCACTAGATGTTGGAACATTGCTGCGGAGACTTGCTTCCATTCAGCCACAAGAGCATTGGTGAGGTCAGGCAATTAGGCCTGGCTCACAGTCGGCGTTCCAATTCATCCCAAAGGTGTTCGATGGGGTTGAGGACAGGGCTCTGTGCAGGCCAGTCAAGTTATTCTACACCAATCTCAAACCATTTCTGTATGGACCTCGCTTCGCGCAAGGGGCCATTTCATGCTGAAACAGGAAAGGGCTTTCTCCAAACTATTGCAGCAAAGTTGGAAGCACAGAATCGCTGTAGCGTTAAGATTTCCCTTCACTGAAACTAAGGGCCCTAGCCCAATACATGAAAAACAGCCCCAAACCATTATTCCTCCTCCACCAAACTTTACAGTATGCACTATGCATTCGGGCAGGTAGCGTTCTCCTGGTATCCGCCAAACCCAGATTTGTCCGTCGGACTGCCAGATGGTGAAGCGTGATTCATCTCTCCAGAGAACGCATTTCCACTGCTCCAGAGTCCAATGGCGACGAGTTTTACACCCCTCTAGCCAATGCTTGGTATTGCGCATGGTGAACTTAGGCTTGTCAGCTAGGGGTGTGGCTGAAATAGCCGAATCCACTAATTTGAATTTGATTTGTCCTCAAGCGGGAGAAAAGCCTTATCATGCATATGATGAGTCATGCAGGAGAGAAACCATATACATGTCCTATATAACAAAGGCTTTGTTGCGGTAGGCACTTTAAAGACACACCTGGAACTTCACACGGGAAAGGACACACCGGTGCCATGTTTGTGGAAAATGCTTTAAATTGAAAGGAGTCCTGACGGACCACATGCAGCTACAAACTGGGGAGAAACCATTTAGCTGCCATGATTGTGGCAAATGCTTCAGTCGGACAAATGCCCTTACAAAACACATGCTGCACATTCACAAGAAAAGGACGTACAAGTGACCTGTGGAGAAAAAATAAAGAGTAAGTCTGAAAAGTAGCTTTCTTTCTATAGCACACACTCAAGTGTCATATAGTTGAATAAAGTACAGGTAAATTGAATAAAGTACGCATAGACCATTTTCTAAACAAGAGTCCTTGTTCATTTTATTACATTTTATGAAGGTAGAAGCCTCTCATCCATCTATTATTCAAACGAAATGATTGAAGACCAACGTACACTTTCAAGTCTACTCATTTTATTTCTTTAAAAAATAAAAAGGCGGTGGGTCAAAAAATAAATAGAAATTACATTGAAAAACAAAATCCCATGGGATAATAGGCGTTTACGTCAGGCCAGTGACAAAATACTGCCTACTCTTTGACATGCATGTGCTGTGTGCAACAGGTGCCACGTTCAACCTCCACAGCTGTATTCTTATTAGAACAGCCGATATTGTCAATCGGAGGGGGAAATGGAAACCTACTTGTGTAAACAATACAACTATGCATTAAAACAAAATATGACCTATACACTAAACAACAAAAAACTACATTTTGGTTATTTGAAACCACAATACATAGCCTGTCAAAATGGTTTTGCTGGAGATAAAGAGGGATGATGTGGAACTCTACAAAAAGGGTTTTAAGGTAGAGACAATAGGTTGCCATTTCAAAAACCCAAACAATGCATTTGGTGCAGTGTCCTACAAAGATCATGTATATGGCAGTGCAGAACACAGGAGCGCCTCTTGATTTTGGGTCTCATCTGTCCGGACGGATCATACCCGGTCTGATAAGCATCATTGGCCGATGGGGGCGCATCATATGTGGGCCAGGCATCATCTGCATGTGGCCCATTGGTGGTCGCATACCTGGGCAAACATCACAAAAATCACATCTGATTTTACTTGGTTTTTACATTTTATCCTAATCATGGTCCAGTATACATGTCCCTTATGGACTATTATGACATGTCCCATCAAACTTGGTGAAAAATAGATCTCAAAGCTATGACCTTGACCCAACCTTGTTTTGTTCAGTGAAGATTTGTGAGCAGTAGCAGATACATTTTGGGTGAGAACTTGCAGAGCTTTAATCCAATGCCCATCAAAAATATTTTTTAAGACAAGCTCTCACACGCATTGTTTACATCAACAATATATGATGTAGGTGTTGGGGAAATAATCTCACCTCCAGGCATCATTCCATGTGGTGGGGGCCCCATCATTTGCATCATATGAGGACCATGACCACCCATAGGGGGCCCGGGCACTGGTAACATGCCTGGACGTGGAGGGCCACCTGGGGTTCACAAATTACAGATTAAAGCTCAGTCCCCAACACACCAAGTTATCAGTACCACATTTAAATAGAAAGAATTCTCAAAATACTAGACTAGCACTGTTGTGGTTGGTCCACAGTCTACGTACTGATGTTTGGAGGAGGGAGCATGGCGCTGCCTGGGGGAGGGGCACCAGGGAACGGAGTAGGAGGGATCTTACCCGACTGGAAGGCAGCCGCTGAGGAGGAAAACAGAAGGCAACATGTTAACCTATTGTAGAGTTGACAGTCGCTGGACACGGGGCGCTACCCCGGAATTCACTAGATAGGTGTCTGACGTGGGATGGCACAGGTGAGGCCATCGGAGATGCATGTGTTCACGTGAGGGACTTCGTATAGAGAAGCATGGGGACACGCAAGGGGGTAGTGTAGCGACCTTAAAAGATGTTTGGCTCTCTTGGCATAACGGCTAAGGTGTAGGGTTGACAGTCGCAGGACCCGAGTTCGAATCTTGGTCAGGGCTACCACCGAATTCGAACACTATACGCTTATTATGCAAGTGTGGGGCTTGTGTATGTTTTGTATCTGCACAAACTGTAGCTTATAAACAAAAACAGCATAGAATCTGCTGAATGTTTAGCTACCCCATTCACATTTGCTTACTTGTTTTATCGATGAGGCTCTGTGCCTGCTCCTCCATCCATTTCTGGTAGTAGTCTTTCACATTCTCTTTATGCTTTCTTCCACTGCAGTGGGTCTTTCTCACCGATGGCTGTAAAAATGTATCATATTCAATTTAATGTTAATACAGTGTGCAATTTATGGAGTGCTCGCTATGTTACAGGGTGCAGAGACAAAATGAAATGCTGGCTTACCGAGTCATGTGTAAGGTACGTATCACAGTAGTCACAATAAAATCTGGGGGGGATACAAAAAAAAAAAAAGCAAGTTAACCAATTCACTGAAATCAAGAACTTTAGCTGGGCCATGGACCAGAACTAACTAGCTTGGAGCAGTGCCTACTATTGTTTCCTATGCAAATAGAAGGCTCTGGCTAGGAGAGTGAAGAAGATGCAAGCTAGTAGCTCTCGAAAACCCTTCTCAGTTTGTAGGGTTTTCAGTGGGTACATCCCCCTACAGTTGGCTCCATGGGGGGAATTCTGACCCAAGTTAAGCGTGCGCGAATGGACCGTAAATCCATTTTATGCTCTCACATTCTACTTGAATAGCATGCTATTCACCAGCTATTCGTTTGGGGTGGATAACAGCGAAATGAAAGTGTGGCAGAGGTGTGTCTACACGCCGTATTCTGACCATTACTTCATTCCCCTCATAATTCCACCTCCTTTACGCGTGAGGAAACCATGAATAAAGGTCGAGCGAACCTACAGGTTCCAAGTGGAAAAAGCATCTACTTTCTTTTTTTCCCCCGGTAGGAATAACACCATTCTCCTTGCACTGTAATTTATCATTGTTAAGAGCTATTGATAAGAGCTAGGTAAATGAGTAATCAGTTTGGAAAACATGACTGTAAATAAACAAAGCAATTGTTTTAGATGATGTTTCCTTATGATCCCCAGAGACAAATGTGAAACCATATGGAAGCCAACTCAAAATCATATCAACATGTATTGCGGCCCCTTTTCCACAGTGAAGTAGGCTATAAATATCTGTGCTGTTTAGTGTTGTGACGATCCAAGAATTTTGACTTCGATACCAGGTTTAGTATTACGATACTCAATACCAAAACAATACCACAGCAAAAAAAAAAAGAAAGCATATTAGCTAGTCACGGAATAACCACTGGGCCTAAGCATTGAACAATATGTTAATAAATGGTAGAACTACTAAAATAACTAGACTTTATTCTATATAAAATGTTTCAAAAATAAAACAATTTTTAAATGGACAGAAGAATCTTATATTTTCCTTGTAAGAGACTGAGAGCATCCAAAATACAGTGGAGGAAAAAAAGTATTTAGTCAGCCACCAATTGTGCAAGTTCTCCCACTTAAAAAGATGAGAGGCCTGTAATTTTCATCATAGGTACACGTCAATTATGACAGACAAAATGAGAAGAAAAAAAATCCAGAAAATCACATTGTAGGATTTTTAATGAATTTATTTGCAAATTATGGTGGAAAATATGTATTTGGTCAATAACAAAAGTTTCTCAATACTTTGTTATCTACCCTTTGTTGGCAATGACACAGGTCAAACGTTTTCTGTAAGTCTTCACACACTGTTGCTGGTATTTTGGCCCATTCCTCCATGCAGATCTCCTCTAGAGCAGTGATGTTTTGGGGCTGTCGCTGGGCAACACAGACTTTCAACTCCTTCCAAAGATTTTCTATGGGGTTGAGATCTGGAGACTGGCTAGGCCACTCCAGGACCTTGAAATGCTTCTTACGAAGCCACTCCTTCGTTGCCCGGGCGGTGTGTTTGGGATCATTGGCATGCTGAAAGACCCAGCCACGTTTAATCTTCAATGCCCTTGCTGATGGAAGGAGGTTTTCACTCAAAATCTCACGATACATGGCCCCATTCATACTTTCCTTTACACGGATCAGTCGTCCTGGTCCCTTTGCAGAAAAACAGCCCCAAAGCATGATGTTTCCACCCCCATGCTTCACAGTAGGTATGGTGTTCTTTGGATGCAACTCAGCATGCTTTGTCCTCCAAACACGACGAGTTGAGTTTTTACCAAAAAGTTCTATTTTGGTTTCATCTGACCATATGACATTCTTCCAATCCTCTTCTGGATCATCCAAATGCACTCTAGCAAACTTCAGACGGGCCTGGACATGTACTGGCTTAAGCAGGGGGACACGTCTGGCACTGCAGGATTTGAGTCCCTGGCGGCGTAGTGTGTTACTGATGGTAGGCTTTGTTACTTTGGTCCCAGCTCTCTGCAGGTCATTCACTAGGTCCCCCCGTGTGGTTCTGGGATTTTTGTTCACCGTTCTTGTGATCATTTTGACCCCACGGGGTGAGATCTTGCGTGGGGCCCCAGATCGAGGGAGATTATCAGTGGTCTTGTATGTCTTCCATTTCCTAATAATTGCTCCCACAGTTGATTTCTTCAAACCAAGCTGCTTACCTATTGCAGATTCAGTCTTCCCAGCCTGGTGCAGGTCTACAATTTGGTTTCTGGTGTCCTTTGACAGCTCTTTGGTCTTGGCCATAGTGGAGTTTGGAGTGTGACTGTTTGAGGTTGTGGACAGGTGTCTTTTATACTGATAACAAGTTCAAACAGGTGCCATTAATACAGGTAACGAGTGGAGGACAGAGGAGCCTCTTAAAGAAGAAGTTACAGGTCTGTGAGAGCCAGAAATCTTGCTTGTTTGTAGGTGACCAAATACTTATTTTCCACCATAATTTGCAAATAAATTCATTAAAAATCCTACAATGTGATTTTCTGGATTTTTTTTCTAAATTTGTCTGTCATAGTTGACGTGTACCTATGATGAAAATTACAGGCCTCTCTCATCTTTTTAAGTGGGAGAACTTGCACAATTGGTGGCTGACTAAATACTTTTTTCCCCCACTGTAATTGTACAATTTCAACTGTTTTAAAATGTAATTTGATACATACAGTGCCTTCAGAAAGTATTCAGATCCCTTGACTTTCTTCACATTTTTCTACGTTACAGCCTTATTCTGAAATTGATTAAATGTTTTTAAAAATCATTAGCAATCTACTCAATACCCCATAATGACAAAGTGAAAACAGGTTGAGAAATCTTGGCAAATTTATTTTAAAAAATTACAATAAAAACCTTATTTACATAAGTATTCAGACTCGAAATTGAGCTCATGTCCATCCTGTTTCCATTGATCATCCTTGAGCTGTTTCTACAACTTGCTAATCTATGGCCAAAATATTGGGTCAAATGACATTCATTACACCCGATTCATTATTTAATGTATTACATTAATAGTTTAGTTCCAAAACTACATTAAAAAAAAACTAAACCTGAAGCTAATTTCTGAAGTTTCTATACAGAACTAAAATATAACCGCACCATGTAAAGTTGGTCCCATGTTTCATGAGCTGAAATAAAAGATCATAGAAATGTTCTTTATGCACAATTTGTAAGTCGCTCTGGATAAGAGCATCTGCTAAATTATGTAAATGTAAACAAAAAGCGTATTTTTCTCAAATGTTGTGCAGTAATTTGTTTACATCCGTGTTAGTGAGCATTTCTCCTTTGCCAAGATAATCCATCCACCTAACAGGTGTGGCATATCAAGAAGCTAATTAAACAGCATGATCATTACACAGGTGTACCTTGTGCTGGGACAATAAAATGACACTACAAAATGTGCAGTTTTGTCACACAATTCCACAGATGTTTTGAGGGAGCGTGCAATTGGCATGCTGACTGCAGGAATGTCCAACAGTTGTTGCCAGATAACTTAATGTTTAATTTCTCTACCAACGTTGTTTTAGAGAATTTGGCAGTACGTCCAACCAGCCTCGCTACCGCAGTCCACGTGAAACCACGCCAGCCCAGGACCTCCACATCCAGCTTCTTCTCCTGCGGGATTATCTGAGACCAGCCACCCGGACAGCTGATGAAACTGAGGAGTATTTCTGTCTGTAATAAAGCCCTTGTGGGGAAAAACTCATTCTTATTGGCTGGGCCTGGTTCCCCAATGGGTGGGCCTGGCTCCCAAGAGGGTGGGCCTATTGCCCTCCCATGGCTGCGCACCTGCCCAAGAAGGCCAGTTTTATTGCTTCTTTAAATCAGCACAACAGTTTTCAGCTGTGCTAACATAATTGCAAAAGGGTTTTCTAATGATCAATTAGCCTTTTAAAATTATAAACTTGGATTAGCAAACACAACGTGCCATTGGAACACAGGATTTATGGTTGCTGATAATGGGCCTCTTTACGCCTATGTAGATATTCCATTAAAAATCAGCAGTTTCCAGCTAAAATAGCCATTTACAACATTAACAATGTCTACACTGCATTTCTGATCAATTTGATGTTATTTTAAATGGACCAAAAAAATTGCTTTGCTTTCAAAAACAAGAAAATGTCTAAGTGACCCTAAACTTTTGAACGGTAGTGTATTTTGATTTGTTTAAAACGTTTTTGGTTATTTCATGATTCCATACGTGTTATTTCATAGTTTTGAATGTCTTCACTATTATTCTACAATGTAGAAAATAGTAAAGATAAAGGAAATCCCTGGAATGAGTAGGTGTGTCCAAACTTTTGACTGGTACTACTACTACTACTAATAATATAGCAAGTCTATACACACCATAGAAATACAATGGATTTTACACAGAATACTACGATTCCCAGAGTGCAATGATCCGCACAGAGCTGCTGGCTGGCTAGTGGCTACTGATAGCAAGCCCAGCCAGAATTTTGTCTCACTCTTCCGTGCAGAACTGCTTTAACTCCGTGATAATTGTGGGTTTTCAAGCATGAACTGCTCATTTCAAGTCACACAATATCTCAATTGGGATTAGGTCTAGACTTTGACTACGCCATTCCAAAACTTCAAATGTGTTGCTTTTTTGTCATTTTCATGTAGATGTGATTGTGTGTTTTGGATCATTGTCTTGCTGCATGACCCAGCTGAGCTTTAGCTTCAGCTCACAGACGGATGGCCTGACGTTCTCCTGTAGAATTCTCTGATACAGAGCAAAATTCATGGTTACTTCTATTAAGGCAAGTCGTCCAGGTCCTGAGGCAGCAAAGCATCACACTACCACCACCACCATGCTTGACCGTTGGTATGAGGTTCTTATTGTGGAATGAATGTTTGGTTTTCGCCAAGCATAATGGAACCTAATAAAAGGCCACTAAAATGTGCAGTTTTGTCACACAACGCAATGCCACAGATGTCTCAGGTTTTAAGTGAGCGTGCAATTGACATACTGACCACAGGAATGT